CAAAACTTTTTTCTTGGCAAGAGAGAGAGAGAGAGGAGAGAGAGAGAGGAGAGAGAGGAGGGAGAGAGAGAGGAGAGAGAGAGGAGGGAGAGAGAGAGGAGAGAGAGAGGAGAAAGAGAGGAGAGAGAGAGGAGAGAGAGAGAGAGAGAGAGACATCGCAGGTTTACCAACTCGAAATAACCACAGTAATGATCTGTGCGGCATTGTCATGTTTCCAATGCCTTTTAATATTGTGTCAATAATTAGAAAAACATTCAATAAAAATAATTGGAAACTCATAAGTGATAAGAGAAGAACAGTGAATTAATCTGACAGAAGCAAGTCAATATTTAAAAAATGATCGAATAACTGAAATGACGAAACTGAAATTATCACTTGAAAATGTACAGACATATTAAAGTTTTCGTAATGTTCAAATAACAGGGCATTCATTAAAATCGAAAAATTTTCTGGATGTTTTACATTTCATGGAGTGGAAAGTATGATGCCGCAGTAACATGTAACTTTACATCATTAATAGGCAAATAGACATTTTACAAACATTTAATTATTTCATTGTACCTAGTGGAGATTATCCAGAATTATCCCAAGGTTATAAAAGCAGGAATCACGGAAACTTAAGTAGAGAAATATTTGAACAAATACGAATAAAAAGAGTATTGGTTGCCTATTGTAAATTAAAAAATTGTCCCTGCAGTGATTTAAGTATCGTTCTAATTACCAATAATCTATTCGCATTTTCAATGAAAGATATTATTTCGACCGGTATATTCATATTCTGTATGAACAAGTTCTGAAATTTGGAGATGTGGAGGAGGCCTCGGTAACTCAATTGGCAGAGCACCAGTCCATGTAAATAATGGCTGTTTTCATTGCTCAAGCCCAAAAAGGGCTCTTTTACCGACGGTAGTTAAGCATGAGAAGTAGGTCTTTTTACCGTTGAGCAGTATAAAAGTGAGAAATGCACTACTTAGGAGTGAAAAAGTGAGAAATGCACTCCTTAGGACTGAAAAACGTGTGGCGCCACCCAGCGTTAATGTACCAAAATATAAAACTACATATAAAAACTGATAAATTCAGCCAGTGAATCCCCTTCATTATCTTCAAAATTGTTAAATTTTAAATTTGAAAATACACCTGAAAATTAAAATGAAAAATAAATTATTAAAAAATCTTAATTTTGATAATAATAATATTAGAAATATCATTTCATAGAAAATTTTTTATNTTCTCCGCCTTAGCACGTAATATACTATTATTGAATAAAAAACTTGGTTAAACAAAAAAAGCAGAGCACCAGTTCATGTAAATAATGACTATTTATTGAATAAAAAAGTTGGTTAAGGGGAGACCGCGGTGAAATTTGAAAAGCCCAGGGGGTTGTCTTTATCATGCTGATAACTTTAATACATATTTTTCATGCTTAGAAAATGAGAAAAAACTGAGTTTCAATTTTTTTCACGGACAGCATGTGGCTGTACAGGCAGGGAATCTACAACATAGTCCCCTTGCCAGGGTTTTCGATGGATTGATTTGAATTTTGGTTACCACACATAAAATATACTAACAAAAAAAGTTATTACAGCTTTTTTGAAAATTCCAATTTTTCGAGTAGAAAAAGGCAAAATGAAAAAATGCACAATTCAAAATTCGAAAATGGGAAATGCAAAATAAATGAACGAAAAAATCTGAAAAAAATTGTAGTTCATTGGCGTATTATAGCCTTGAATTTGTACCATTCTAGCATACGATGGTCTTCACCAATCCTGAGAAAAAAAATCGAAAACCTCAAAAAATGAAAGTTTTTGAAAACACTCTAATAACTTTTTATTTTAAATATATTTTGTGTGTGGAAACCAAAATTCAAGTTAATTCATCGAAAACCTTGGTCAGGGGACTATTTTGTAGATTTTATCCTTGTACAGTCACATGCCGTCAATGAAAAAAATTGCAGCTCGGTTTTTTCCCATTTTTTAAGTGGAAAAAATAAGTACTGAAGTTATCAACATGATAGAGACAACCCCCTGGAACTTTCAAATTTCACCGCGGTCTCCCCTTAAACAAAAAAAGCAGAGCACCGGTCCGGCAAACTGGAGATGTAGAAAATCATACCCCACTTGAGTTGGAATCCGTGTGCCTCCGAATTTTTTAATTTGTGCATTGTTAATTATTTATGTGTTCCCCTCGTATAGAGGTTTGGAAAGTCGAGAGATGGCATATAGCATCCTGTTTTCCATGTAATTTGTACCTTAAAAAAAATATCTATGGTTTGACCGCGTAGAATTGTCTGGGGATAATACGGACTTTTCGAATTGTTTTCCCGCGAAAATACCCCAAAATTTCTCCACCAAATAAGACGCAATAAGGAGTTATTACATCGTCCCATGTTGCACGTAAAATCCAGAAGTACACACGAGATGTGGGGGAGGAGGGGTACCCCAGCAACATTGCGCGAGCGGCAACGCTGCATACTACCTGGTGGCCATTCTGACAATGTGCCTTGTGGACCACCCACAACAATACCTATCTTTCCTGTCCCTGTGGAGTGAGGAAGAAAAAGGAGTCGTCGAGGTAGAATGGAAAGGATATAGGCGCACACCCATCCTACTATCTCCTTGTTCGATACTAAAACTAAGGGGGGGGGGGAGAGTTACCTTTACAGTTACATTCGCTGGAACGATTCTACCCCGGTATTTGGAAAAAAATTAGAAAAAAACAAAGCAAAAACTGTAAAAGGTAGAAGGATAGATTGTGATTGAAAGGAAAAAAGTAAGGATTACAAGGTGGTTTTGCATATCCACGTACAGTAGCCGAGTATCAAGTGGCAAAAGGCGTTTTTCCATTCAATTAAACATGAAGAGTGTAGAGAAACTGTGGATGCCTTTTTTTTCCCAAACTAGAAAGCTAGGGTTTCGGGTAACATTATATCCTTCAAACATTTTGGAGTAACAGGTAAATCCTGGTTGCCACATGGGACCACGTTTTTTTTGTTCACCGTAGAATCACGGGCGATAGAGTAGAAACAAATTGATTAATCCATACAAGTGACGGGAATCTCTGGAATTTTATTCAAACAATAAAGAAAAATGCAATAAAAAAATTTCACTTGAAAAATTATTTATGTTCGTCATATTTCTTCAAAACTTTCTAGAGAATTCACTGAAAACATTATTGTTTACTCACTGGAAAATTTTTAGAGTCATATTCCAGTGCAAGAGGATCGAGTGTCAGTCCGGGTGGTCCCTGAATCAAGCCACAAAGCATGTAGATAATTTTTACGATGACTACGAGTGAGTTTAAAATCAAGATTTGTTGTTTTTTTTTTACTTTTAGTGACTTCGGGCGAAGGGATGCGGTGGTATAATAACAGTAGCTGGATTTTTGGCTCTTTCAGAACCTGGATGAAGTCGTCAACGACTGCGGTGGTCGAATAAAACGCGTTTGGGACCTTCGGTGGAGTGGGAAGGCGAGGGGAGAGGGACATGGTCAGGTTTTAGCTCCAGGTACACAGAAAGGAAGAGAAAAAACAAAAAGGAGAAGAATATTTTTATTTTGCCATTTTTTTCCCCTCAAATTTTGAAACTTTTCAAGTTTTATGGATATTTTTGCGAGGTGAGAAGGAGGGAGGTAATCGACCTTTTTCCGGTTTCCGTAAATTCCTGAGAAGAGCAAACAAAATATTCAATCGGGGCTATCAAATTGCATGTCTTAAAAATTGAAAAACGCTATACAAGAAAAAAAACAACGCCCTGTCAATAGATTATCAACATGAAGGGAAAGGGATTGTTACACCTATTGAATGGAGGCAATCTCTGCTCAGAAATGTGATCATATGATATCGATTATTTGTCAAATTGATTTTTTCAACTTGATGTAATGTGCAAATGTAAACTATGGAATCTGATATCCATCATTATATCTTCAGTTACGAAACTTCACAAAAACGGAAAACTATACTCTTTAATATATTTCCAAATGCTCGTCTCATAAATTATTTCTGAGTTACTGATTATATGACATGTAAGAAACACGTTCCATTACCCAATAAATTTACAACATTTCTACGGTACCGCATCGTGAGACATATATATGAAGAGGGCGCATATTCAATCTCGAATATGAAGAGTCCAATATAACCGAGTGAATATCCATTTCTTCAGTAAAAATTGAAAACCCCACGGACTATTGGAAACTTCCCCTACATTTCTGTGACTGCTTTATAGAGTTTACAACTATTGCAGCCGTAGAGACGTAAGTGTGAAAATCACTTCAACCCAGTGGTAATATAAATTATTGTTGAAACATATCTTTCACCGCCGAGATTATATTCATCTTATCATATTGAATTCTCGTTATTAGCCTCGTGACGTTTGGAATCCAATGTGCAGTTCATCACCAGATTATCAAAGGATTTCAATTGCTATTGAGATTGTAAAGAACTTGAAATTCACAGTACAAGCCCTCCCCCCATTTCCTGTTTCTCACTTCTTACACGAGTCAAGGGAAAAAAGATTATTCCAGGAATCGTCTTCAAGGGATCCTTTGGTGCTTCACCGACCGTTTGAAAGATCGTTTCGGCTTCACGTATAAACTTAAAACTCCTCCCCAAACATAACCAAGCATTCACCTTTCACATATTTTCGAGGAAAAACCAATTTCTTACCTAAAAATGAAAAATTTCCTGCGATGAACGCAATTTCTTTTTCCATTAATTCGCCTATCTACTCTTTTTTTAAAATCACCAGGAAAAAAAACAGTCCGGACCACCCACGTGTGTGAAAGCTAACCGCTAACAGTCCCCTTTGAATACCACTCCCGAGTACAGTCTGATCGAAAATATTTCAATAAACCTGCGAATAATAATTTCCCAGAGAAAAAAATAAATAAATTCGTGGTGACACCGACGACAGGACAGAACGTATTGCAGTGAGTTCAGTGGCCAATGCAGAATGTAAACAATGTAATGCAACCAAAGAGGTGAAGGATAAATGAAAACAAACCTTAATGATTTGATCCAATGCAATTTCTGCATCAGCCCAACTCGGTCTGACATATAAATCAGACTCGTGTCTACGTCTATCATCATCATCGATTGTTCGAATATTTTGTGAATCGTGAGTGCCATTTTGCTGCTGTGACTGTGCCGTTGATGCAGTAGGGCGTCCCGCTAGGATCCCTGTAGGGCCGGACGCAGTGACCATGATCCGTCATGCATTTGTCCCGGTACACACTCACTGTGAAATTATTATTAATATTCTCAGCTTACCCCAACCCCTCACTTTGCTTGTCAACAAAATCATTAAATAAATCACTTGTTTATTGGGACACTTGGAGATTCGAGGGGACCCGAGGACCCGCAATCACGCGTAACCCTCATCCACTATTTTTTTGAAAATTATTTGGAGATTTTGTGACTAATTTATTGATGATCTTTCCAAGTAATATTGAGGCACTGACACTGTTACACTGCTAATACCACAGGGAGACGATGGTTTTACGATTGAGAAATCCTCTGGAGCGAAGAGAAACGAGGGCAAGGTAAATTAAGAGAATACACTGCGTTTTTAAGTTGGTTTATTTCACTTAAACGGGAATGAACACAATTTTATGACGATATTTTTTTTCAATCGCACAGTTTGCCGGCTACGATCGACACTCAGTGCCGTCTACGTTGATACTAAGGGAAGTGTCGGAGCCACATTTCTTTCATGGTCTGCCCACCAGCGCACGGCCATAGTTGATCCTACCTATCCCCACTACTCTGATGGACGGACCAGAGGAGTTTGGCTTCGTGTGTTCTCGAAAGTGGTAGAGAGATAGAGAGAGAACCGAGTCTCGATGGACTGCGCAAACATTCAGGCGCGTAACTTTTTTCGGGGACCGGTGCAAGAATTTTTTGAATTTAATGCAAGAATTTTCCAATAACAATTTTTCGGCAAATTTGCCACTTCAGCTATTTAAAAGTTTGTTTGATTCACCAGACATTCGTAATGATATTATATTAAGGCGAGTATAACACATACATTTATTAATGTAATCGAACGTTTCCAACAATTAAATTGAAAAATTCAGCCATGCGAGCTTTCGTAATATAAATATACGCACATAAATGGGTTCCGCTTTCGATATTTCTCTTCACGCTAAGCAATATATTTTTTATGAAATTCTGAGAGGAAAAGCAGTGGAGCTAAATAATGATGCATAAAGAAATTTCAGTCGGAAAAAATTAATTGGTTGATGCAATAGTTTTTGGGAACAATCCTGATAAACTTCGAAACTTTTAAATGTACTATTAATGGTGATTCAGTTATCCTCCGTATAAAATTGAAAGAAGAAAAGGTTCACCATTTTTAAGATTACGTGACTGGTGCTGCCGATGACGTCACAACCGAAGATGAACGATATTAGTCGAAGAGTTCAGAAGTGTACGGCGATTGGTGGAGAGTGCTCGGCGTCCTGGGTTGCTAGGATACACCAGATGATCCACGAGTGACGATGGACGGAGTAAAGGTAGACAGACGGTGCGGGGTGCGGGGGTGAAACAACACCGGGGACCACACACGCGGTACCATTTCCCCTCGAGCAAAAACACTACCCACACGCGCACGACCCGGCTTTTATTCTTTTTCTCTTCATCTTCTTCTTCTCTTCTTCTTTGAATTATTATTGTTATTATTGTATATAAATTCAGAAGTTATTTACGCGGACCTACAAAGAATTCGTTCTTATGACAATTGTTGTATGAACGATTTTAATTGAAAAAATTTAATGAAATTGCATAAAACAAGAAAAAATTGAACAGTCGCCAATGATTAATGAAATAAACATTTGAGGTCATTTGATATTTATATAATGGCATCGGTTTTTTTTCTATTCTCCCTATGTTCTCCTCGATTTTTTTGTTACTTGAAATATTTGTTTGCGATGGAATATAAAGTTCGGATCATGCCAGTCACATACAGTGTTTTTTTTACATATTACGGAACTTAAAATTAAAAAATAAACTTGAAAAATGGAAAAAAAATGACCAAGAAATCATTGATCATCATTTTGCGAGGGGCTGGTCACTTAGGAAATCACTGAATCATTTCGATTGGAAATCAAGGAAGAAATCACTGGAAATCAAGCGATTTCCATTTCCGGTAGTGATTTCTAATGACTTCTGGCAATCATCGGACATCAACAGAAATCATAAAGAAGTCAGGCGATTTCAGAAATAATTAGAAATCATCAATGAAGCTGAAGCCCAAATTTTTTATTTGAGCTCACTCATACGATCCCGTTTGACCATCATAACTTTCTTATGCACAGATCATTTGATTCTTACTATCACATCCAAAAGGCCCTTCTAAATTCTTTGGTCCCCCGAATCTTACTCAGATGCAATTATCAACATATGCTCGACTTTGCCCCCGAAATCAAGAAATCATCAGAATCCACTAAAAATCATGGAAATCACGAAGCATCCAAATAAATCATGATTTCTAATTCTTATTGAGAAATCACAGATTTCATTCAAGAAATCACACGAAATCATCCCATTCTGGAAATCACTGAGCCCTCCGATTTGGGAATGACCAGCCTCTCGTCATTTTGCATCACTATCTAGCCCAATGAATTTATAAAATAACCCTAGTCTGGTCACCGAACGCGACCCTGCGACTTTGATCACCTCCGCGGGGATTCGCCGCCGTGTTATTTCGACTTTAGCGTTGCCGAATTCACTCTACACTGCCCGGGTACGTTTAGCGAGTGTTCGGCAATGTCGCGTCTCTCTAAATTTTAATTCTATTTGAATTAATTATTTGCCTAAAGAAGGTTAGGCGGCGGGTTGAGTTGAATTTGGAGTGAGAGAATTTCCGTGGTTCCCGGTAGCTTAGTTGGAAGAGTGCCCGGCGCGTAACTAGGAGACCCGGGTTCGATTCCCGGCTGGGCGGATCGGGATTTTTTCTCTCTAAATTTTAATTCTATTTGAATTTTCGTCGCGTGGGAAAAAATAATTCATCTGTCTGAAATAATTCGTTTTCTTTAGCAATTTTTGGGAAATACGCGGAAAAAAAATACTTGAATTGAGTATAAAATATACTTGATTCAAGTATATTATTCTTGATTCAAGTATAAAATATACTTGATTTAAGTATATTATTCTTGATTCCAGTATGTTTTATACTCAATTCGGGGATGGGTATTTCAATTCGGAGATGATTGTGTCGTATCAGGCCGGGTTATAGCAAACCCTCTTAAGTATGATATAAGGATTAGGCCCTAAGTGTCAGAATATATGGGTCAAAAAGTGGAGTTTGAAAAATGAAGGTCAGAATATTAGGGTCAAACACAGAGAGAAAAAGTGAATTAGTTTCAGAAAAAAGTTTCTAAATTTTAGAAACCGTAGTTTCTAATCTTCAGTTTTCTAAAATCTGGAAACTTTTTTTTAGAAAAAAATTGAGTCTGTGAGTTCTTCAAAAATATCTCCGAAACTAAGGGAGATAGCGAATTTTTACTGAAGATTTGGAGGGAGGGCGGGTGGAGGATTTTACATCGAGAATTCAATAAAACTTTTCCAAATTTTTCCCTTAGTTTCGGAGATATCTTTGAAAAACTCACCGACTCAATTTTTTTGGTTATGAATTCCCAATGTACATTCCCCCCCTTAAAATTTTCAGAAAAAAATTTGCTAAATTCTCCTCCCCGTCTTTGCAAAATCCCCCCTTCTCACATCTGAAATTCCTGATATTTGGGCACCCCTCCCCGTGTATGGGGTACTTACGCCCTTTAAATACCTCGGCCGCAATTTTTTAGTTCAATCTGAAAATTTTCTACAATTAAGAAAAATTCAGCATTGGTTTTAGAAAACATCTGTTCTGAAAAATAATTCCCAAATTCGTTTGTATTTATGATCCCACCAAGTATTTTTTTTTTAATTCATTGAATGTATTAATCCTTCAGGATTATTTACAGCGATTGTTACATGTAATTTTGTTAAAAATGTAGTACATCATGTCTCTTGGTTGTGCGTTCTAAATTTGAATTTGACATTTTTGGATGAAATCGTTAATTATCTTGAGGTGTTCTGGCGTCGTTGAGGCCAGAAACGCAGCTATGGAGTAAGGATTCTGGAGTTTTAGACTCCTGAGTTTGCTTTCTAGTACATCTCTTTCCTTTTTATCCCACCAAGGACAAAGCTTAAGAATTACAGTTTTTAAAATCTACTAAAATCTCCCCCCTTCCCTCCCCGCCCCGCCAATTTTGAGTGAAAATTCGTTATCTCCTGTAGTTTCGGAGATATTTTTGAAAAACTCAGACTCAATTTTTTTGGTTGTGAATTCTCAATTGCCCCTCCCCCTCTTTGCAGAATCCCGTCGTCAAAAATTACAGAAATTTCCTAGATTAAAAATTTTTTTTTTCCAAAATGAAGTAGATTTTGGTTTAAAATTAATCCCCATTTTGATCATTAATTTTAAACAATTTTTTTCTGAAGAAAAAAGTTTATAGATTTTAGAAAACTGAAATTTTTTTCTAAAGCTAATTCACGTTTTCTCTGTGTGTTTGACTCTAATATTTTGACACTTAGGGCCTAACCCTATATATGTATTACACTTAAGGGGAAACGGAACCCCTTTGTCTACATCAAATCTTAGAATTGTGTTTTCTCCTACAATTATTAATTTCTACCTATGAAATTACTTTGTCGACGCAATTATCGCATTGTTGAGTCAATGAAGTAGTTTAATGAATAAAAAATAATAATTGCAGGAGAAAACATAATTCTAAAGATTCATATAAACGCAGGGGTTCCGTTTCCCTCGCCTGATACGAAACAATCATCTCCGAATTGATATACCCATCCCCCAATTGAGTAGAAAATATACGGGAATCAAGAATAATATACTCGAATCAAGATTAATCAAGATTAATCAAGTATATATTGTACTTGATTCGAGGATAAAATATACTTGTTTCAAGTATATTTTATACTCAATTCAATTTTTTTTCCGTGTATGTTGTTCTAAAAACTACTATAATTTTTTACACACTTCAATTGACAAAGTCAATTTTTTTTTAATTTTTCCGGTTAGCCAGTCAATTGTAATTAAAGAAAAACGACGCGCGGCGGGCTGTCCCTCATAGAGTGGTCAATCTAGGGATAATTTCTATCACTTCGAAATGATGGCTGGTTCACAGTTTTGAATGAGATTTTTGCTAAAGAAATTCTCCAATGTGTGCACGAAAAAATGAATTTATATGATACGTGCGTGTAACCGCATGAGTTTCAGTTGACTATAGTCAACTGAAACCCGAAATAACGCATGACGCGCATGCGCATCACCTATTAAAAGAGAATAACAAGGAAGGAAATCTAACCTCCGAATAGTGAATACATGGAATGAGTGAAAAATGAAAAGGTGATTTTCGAAGCAGATAAAATGAGCCAAAATCGTATAATTCCTGATAGCGATGAAGAGTTAGGCAGTGAGGAGAATTTATTTACTGATGAGGAGGAGTTTATTGCTGATGTGACATTTGAAGAAAATGGAAATAAAATATTCTCCGATTTTTCAATTACGTTTTGTATCATATTTTTTTTATAATTATAACTTTCTTTTTTTTGCGAATTCTTAATGATTTTTAAAAATTGTATTTTGTAATTATTATAATTAA